ATCCAACATGGCAGCATTTAATGAAACTGGATGTTTTGCCATGGACAGCATGTAAGATTTACCAAATCTTGTATTCCCTTTGATTGCTAGTAGGGAATGTCTTAGATCCAACATGGCAGCATTTAATGAAACTGGATGTTTTGCCATGGACAGCATGTAAGATTTCCCAAATCTTGTATTCCTGTTGATTGCTAGTAGGAAATGTTTCACATCCAACATGGCAGCATTTAATGAAACTGGATGTTTTGTGATGCTGTGTGTAGAACATCCGTAGGCAGTTTTCTTAGTGGATAACACACATGTATTAAGACAACATCCACTTCTTTTAACAAGGACACGTAACTCAACAATAAGCCAGTAAGTTGTGTTAACAAATTGCTGATTTCATCTATGACCAGATGTGTGTTTTGATAATTTGTGTATTAAGTTAGTATCATTAAATTAGTTTTTCTAATAACTTGTATCTGAAATTTAATTATTTTTTTCACTAATAATTTTTTATCTTCTTGAAGTGATTATTCATTGAGATTGGGTTGTTATTACCACAATGTTTTTAATGTTAATTTGTAAATAACCATATTGTTTTATTTATGTAATTAATTTCTGTATGAAAGCACCAACAGGAGCTTTCTAAGAGTGAAAAAAAAACAATTGCGTTAGCCTAACTAGAAAGATTGATTATATTGTTATATCATCTTTGATCAGATCAAACATAACTATGCATTTCTTTTTTCTTTTCTTTTTTTTTTTGCTGGTTACTACATAACTATCAGGTTATGAATAGAATAAATAATTTATTTTGCTAATAAATGATTAACAACTGGTAAGTTGAAGCATCAAGCTTTGTTACCAATAAAAATAACTTCTTATGTGAAAAAAAACGGATATCTAGTGTAATCCAATCCTGTTAAATTTAGTATAGAAGTAGTGTTGACAAAATGATATTTGTGATGTGAGATCAGATGATGGTTTTCATATTTGGCAGAAATTGTTTTCAACATTACTCCAAATATTTCAGCATTGTCTTTAATTTTTTTATAAACGTAAACGGTTAAATTGTTGTGATGCATTATTCTGAATAGAAAGAGACTGCTTCTATGCTGCTTCATTATGGAATTTAGGAATATTGTATATTAAAACAGTTTTAGTGCAGGACCTGTGATTTTACATGTATTTATATGGCCTTTTGTAGTTTACAATATCATTGAAACTTGTGTATTGTTCGTCTTCCCGATGCATTAAAAGTTTCTTTGCAAAATGTTAACATTTGTATTTTGAATTAAATCAAGAAAATCATCCTTTCCAAAAACTGGTGTAAAATTAGTTTTTATCTGAAAGTGAATATACAAAACACCTTGTCATAAAGATGTTGAAATTTAACTATATATATATATATAATTGTAAACTTTTTTTTCATGTGTCATCCTTTCCAAAAACTGGTGTAAAATTAG